AAAAATCATCAACAACAACGACGCTTATTGTGAGACAATGGAATCGGCAATAAACACCGAAACAGAACACCAACACCAGAAGGCGGGACAGAAGGAGGGCGGCCAACCCAACGGCACGCAGGGACGCCAACAAGAAACAACAAACAGAGATCGCGTGGGAATTTCAATAATGAACCGTTGCATTGACTCACACCCACCTGTCATCCATGTCTTTTTTCATTCCATCAAACTCCTTGTTCTTCCTGTTGCACGCATCCCCCCTTTTATCGCTTTCATTCCCATATTTATGATCCTTTCTTTCTCGTCCCTCACCCAGATGGTATTTGGTGTGTATGTGCGTGTATTGACAACCCACCACCGCTTCTACCGTTCCGCCCCTCGCCTGCCCAGCCCTTTCCTCTTTCCACTCTTCGTAGTTATATGCACGTGGGTGTTTTTTTTTAAATACTGTGTGTGTCTGTGTGTGTGTGGGGTGGGGGGGGGGACTATGCATTTCACTTTGTTCCTCAATCCTCCACCCCCTTTTCTTTTTTCGTTTCCTTTGGCTTTTTTTTGTTTTGCTATCCGCCCTCCTTCCCCCCCCCTTCTTTTTGTCCCTTTAGCTTCACCCACCTCACGCCGACGCAGAAGGAAGGAGGCATAAAGGAGAAGCACATACGAGTCGGCGTGTGTGCAAGTGTACGTGTGTCTGTCCGTGGGCATGCAGACCACAGAAAGCACACACAAAAAAGGCGAGGATGTGCGCCAGATTGCCACCGGACGCCGTATATGCTTGACACCGACACATCGGACACTTCTCTCCGCATTATGCGAGCTCCGTTCAGACTCTATTTCTTTTTTTTTTTTGTAAATTCTGTCCTTCATGCCAGTACCACCGCTCTTGTTGTATAGTTCCCGCCCCCATTCACTGTGCGTGTGTCAACTCGCCGCGCGAGACTATTTGCGCAGCGCATAGACGCCAATGCCGTTACCGCCCGCAGCGAAGATAACACTACCGTCGCCGCTCGCCTTGAGTTGTGTGTGTGTGACGTTTGGAACCGCATCGAGTGTGTTGAGTGTCTCGAGTGAAAGAAGATAAAGGCCGCGGGCGGTGGAGACGGCAACGTGCGCACCATCGACCGGAGCAACGTCGAGGATCCCTGCGGACATGTGCACGTTGTGCACTGGCGCGTTCATGCGGCGCGCATCCCACACGAGGAGCGATCCGTCTAGTGAGGCCGTCAGCAGCGCTTTGCGGTGGGGCACAACAGCAGTAATGGTGTCCGTGTGGGCATTCTCCACTCGAGGCAGTGACGCCCCCATACCTGCTGTTGTTGCCGCTGATACTGCTGCTGCGGTTGAGAGGGAGGGGCGATTGCTGCTGCTACGCGTGTCCCACACCTTCACCACGCAGTCACGTGAGCCGGTGAACAGGGCGTGGTCGCTATCCTCGCCCACGCGGACAATGGTGGTGTAGTCGTCGTGTACTCGTTCGAACCGACGCATTGTCTGTGTGGTGTGACCATTGAGGAGAACTAAGTCGTGCTGCAGCCCTGTTTCAGGCGACCGCTCTGATGGGGCGCTCTCTGCGGTACACACGACGAGGTTAGCTAATGCGGCTACCGCCGTCAACGTCACATTCTCTTTTCGTGTTATGGTCTCACCGTTCGTCCAGGCCCCAGTGCTTTCGTTGCATGTGAGGAGACGCAGCAGCGGTCCCTTTGAGGTCCCCGATGACAGACTCCGCCTCTTACTGTTATTATTACTGCTGCTGTTGCTGTTTCCACTGCTGCCAGTCGCGCTATTCTCACCCGCTATGGCGCTTATGCTGCTTGCAGGGAACGGCATGCCGGCGACAACCAAATAATTCCCCCGCGACGCGCCGTCCATGGCCACCGGCACGCACCGCTGCGGGAGCTCAACCGTCGTGGCAGGTCTCACCTCACCGGTGCTCGGGTGCGGGCTGCCCCACACCACCACTGACCCGTCGCATGTCGCCGACGCGAGCTCGTCGCGCTGGCGGAAATACGCCATGGACGTAACAAGGCACGGCTGCTCGAGCGTGCGCACCGGCACGAGCGCGGCGGCCTTGTCGGCGCCGCCCCAACCCAGCAGTCGCGCGATCGCCACGCAGTCGTACTCGTACTCCGGCTCCTGGATCGCGCGCACCAGCGGCTCCACGTTCTGCACTGCTCGCAGAAACACCTCGTCGCCGCGGTGCTGGTCGGCTAACTTGCCCAGCACTGCGACGGCGGCACGGCGCGTACTGGCATCGCTCAGCAGCGCCTCCAGCGTCGTGGCGACGCCGCGCAGGACTACCAGGTTGAGCCGCACCATCTCTGCCAGCATCTCCGAGCAGGCCGGCATCGGGTGCGGATCACGGGCGGTTGTGAGGGTGTTGAGCAGATCGTGCAGCACCGCGTCCCGCACCTTGGCCCAGTACGGAGGCTCCAGACACGCCACGATCGACAGGTGCGCCGGTGTCGTGATGCACTCCGCAACGCCGCTGACTGCGGCAGGCAGCGTCGTCGGCCTCGCCAGCGCCGCACTTATCTTCTTCGCTGACTCCATCGGCTGGCTCGGGNAGCGTCGTCGGCCTCGCCAGCGCCGCACTTATCTTCTTCGCTGACTCCATCGGCTGGCTCGGGTCAACGAGCTCCTTCCAGTTGATGATGTGACGCCCCTGCGCGATATCCTCGAGCATGAGCAGTGTCTTGCGGATCTCTTCAAGGCGCTTCTCGTCAAACGGATCGACCTCCGCCGTGGCGGTGACGTGCACCGTCGTGTGCGCCGCCACATTGCCCCCCGCTACACGTGCTGGCGTAGCAGCTACTGCTGTCGCTGCTGCCATGGACGTAGACGGCAACAGTCCTTGCTGCTGCTGCTGTGATTGCTGTGGTGGCTGTTGGAGTTGATCCAAGCCGCCGCCGCTGTAGGGGCTGCCCCCACCTATACGGAAAGTGTCCATTGCTAGTTTTTGTTTTTTCTTTTCTTTTGATCCTCGTAGTCGGTTTTTTTCCTTTTTTTTAAAAAAAAATTGACGCGTTTCTGTGTTTTTTTCTCCTTCTATAAAGATAATATATATAAATATAAATATATATATCAGTTCTCTCTCTTCTCTCCTCTCCCCTCTGACGCAATTCCTTCTTTTTAAGGTCCCCTCAAGTACAGTGTGCGCCCGTGTATGTTTACGCTGAGGCCGTCTCAACCAGCTGCCGCTCTTGCCCGCTTCCTTCTCTTATGCTCAGTTTGCTTGCACGCCACAGCGCGGCGGGGCATTCCACGCAAAAACAAATAATAAATAAATAAAAAAACAATAACAAAAAGAGAAGAGAAATAGAGAAGGAAGAGGGAAACAGAAACAGAACCCCAACAGGGCACAGCCACGCAGCAAAGAGTGAACGGGGGACTCCTCATTGTGCGAATAATCTCCGCACGTTTCAATCCTCTTTCGCCTCCGCCACACATGGGCCAAAACTTCCTCTAGCGCCCCCCTCTCCACACCACCCAGTGGGCGCAGCAGCAACACGTGCACGCCAGCCACCCCGCGCAGGCACGACGGACGCACACCGCCGGGAGACACGGAGAAGACAGCGTGCAATGTGCCGCAAGAGATTCACCGCCCACAGGCACACACACACCAAGACGAAAGAAGAAGCGGGTGGGCATAGTAGAGGACGACGCGGCACCACTGCTGTTGCAGCATCGCCCTCCCCACCACCACCACAACAGCAACAACAACCACTGCTGTCTCCTTTTCACTTCTTCCTTGCCCCACCCTTTGCCGCCTCCTTGTCGCGCACCTTCTTGAACACGATGAGCTGCTCCCACTTGTAGTCATCGATCGCGATGGGGTTCAGCACGCGCCCCTCCGCGCCCATGCGGTCTGCGGCGAGCCACGCCTCCTCCATTACCATCTGGATCAGGTCCTGCGCACTTGCCCCTTCCAGCACCGGAGGGGCGTACGTCGTGCCGTCGAGCCACTTCACCTCAATGCGCGGCGTCACATGGTCGACGGCGTAGAAGAGAAACACTTTATCCTTCGGGAACGGCGCCCGTGCGCTGATAGCGCGGCGGTAGAAGTCAAGCACCGCCTTTTGCAACGTGTGACCGTAGCCAAAGAGCAGCGGTGACACCGTGACGGTGATGCGCTCCATATGCATGAGGAAAAGGTAGCGGTGCATCGTGCGCGGCGCCAACACGGCGAGCGGCCGCTTCGCACCGGTGTGCTGCGGCACATGGGCATCGTACTGCACCTCGCGCTCCCACATTACCGGCGAGCTGAGCGGCGTGTGCCACGACTTGAACAGCCACGTCGGCTTCGCGCCCTTTGCCACGTACTGCACCTGCGGCAGCGGGCGCTGAGCAAGGCGACCGCGCGTGACGGAGAGGTATGCAAACTCGCGGCCGCCGCGGCCGTAGTCGCGCGGGCATTTGGCGTGCGCGTAGTGCTGGTGGTACATGTGCCGCGTCTCACCCTCGCCCCAGCGGGCGACAGTGCTCTGGTTGTATGTGTAGCGGTCGTGGTTGCCGCGCCACATGGCGTAGTACGGCAGCGGGTAGACAAGGCCTTTCAGGTGACCGACGTGCGGCCGCAGGCGCGGTTGCCGCGA